TTGCATGACGTTAAGGTGAGGCCGACACGTTTGTTTTAATCTGAGATTTAATGTTGACATCGTCGACTTTACTAGCGAAGTAAACCACGTGAGTAATGATGGCGAGGAAAAGCAGGTGGGAGGGTAGTAGCTGACCCGCTCATTACTACCTGTCAGCCCGCCCTCCACCTTGACTCACGCACCAGGAAAACATTTGCACATATAGCAGTAAGTATCGTACAACTATCACAGGTAATCGGCAGTCATGTTTATGGGCCAGAAGATAATGGGATAAAACAAGGAATAAAGGGGTAAAGCGGGAATGTACTGTTCATGACAAAACAGAACCCCCCCCCCTCCCCCACCCCCTATCTCTGCTCTCTGTACACATCCACCAACAAAAATGTAGTTTATTGCCGAGATGAACCACAACAACAGATAACGTTCGTGTCATCATCTGCATGTTTGTGAACAGTAATAACTTCGGAAAATACACGTCTCTCGTAGAAAGACAAAACACCAACAGTTAAAAATGTTACGTTAAGAGTGCATTGTGTTACTGTAAAATCAGTCATGATTTGTCGCTCTCATTACCCCCACATTATATTAATAATTAAACGAGTGACACCCCTCAGCGGTCTATTAATCACAGCTTGGAGATGCCCGGCCCCTGGGGTGTAGGAGTACTGTCCCAGACGTAAAGGAAATGGTTACAGCATCATCGACGGGGCCTAACGCTAGGACTCCGTCGAGGTTTTTTTGCCTGACATTTGCTTCCCGTGGCTCCTAGTTTCCTCGTACAAATCTGTCGTGTACAGTACCTTCCGTTATCTCTGAAAAATATTTTTATCGAGGAGAAAATACAAGATAAGAAGGCTAGGCTAAGGTTAGACTCATCGTGGAGGTTAAGGAGAACTTCCGTTTAAATTCAGTTAGGTGAAGCCTAACGTTAGGATATATATTATTCTGTATGAGGAAGCCGGGGGCTGGGGGGAATATGTCAAGATGGCTGCTAAGCATTGACTGAACCCTCAATTCATGCACGCCTCACTGTTGGGCTCTCGACGGTGCTGTAATCACTTCATTGTGGATAAGGACCTGCTTGAAGATGATATAAGCTGTACGTTAAATTGCCTGAAAGAACATAATTTCTACCCCCCCCCATAAATATACTGCCGCCATAATGGTTTAGTGCTGTTCCCGTACAGACTGGAGTCGCCATATTCCTTAGTTCACATTATTTCCCCCTTTCCTGAGTATTTCTTGTACAGTATTTCGGGTCAGTAGTGTTTGGGGAGTCTCTGAGGACTGGCTGTACTCCGGCCAATAATTAATAGGACGCCTTTTATGTTCCCAAATTCACGCTCTACTGTGATATATAACAGCCATCTGTCCGCATTATAACCAACACTTGGCTATGCAGTAGTGTTAAGCTTTATTGCGCGAGAGAACAATAGGAGTTTAATATTATTACCACTGAGGAATTTTGTAAACGCGACAATACTATATCCGGAGGCCATCTTTATACTGGCTTAAAGACACGCTAACATGACGGTAAATGTATTCTGTTCATACCTTACTGACAGTGTGTTACAGGAGGCTATTTTATTGTTACCTGTGACAACACGATGTTAAACTACGGCAACAATTTTTAAACATACCGACACACGACACTAGAGAAAATAATGCCCCCTCTAGCGACAAAAAAATAAAAATAAAAAATCAGGTCAGGACAGGCGGGAATTAGGATGCGCTGAATCATTGCAGTCAAAAGTATACATACGAGATAAATAATATTGTATTACCGGTACAAAAATGATACTTTACATTCATGGATAAATACAATTCATTATCGGTAATACAGTATTTATTTTCACCGTTGTACACGTAATATTTCTTATACTTCAGTACACATATTTGTTCATACTTAAAGGGTTATCCTCACTATAGTAAACAAGCCACTCAGTTCCGCTAGAAAATTCTTACTCTAAAATTAAGTTAAAATTTTCACACATTGCACCTCGTGAAATATTTAGGGAATTTTAGTACTGTATGTGTGTTATTAAATCACTATAGGCTGTGATGTGACCTGAGAGGGCGGGAGATATTTTTACTGAATCGGTCGTTGTTATGGTTGTTATAACGTGGCATTATTATTATCAATGATGTCATAACGCACCCCCTGATACTTGGCTGTCGTAACGCACTCCCTGATACTTGGCTGTCGTAACGCACTCCCTGATACTTGGCTGTCGTAACGCACTCCCTGATACTTGGCTGTCATAGCGCACTCCCTGATACTTGTCTGTCATAACGCACTCCCTGATACTTGTCTGTCATAACGCACTCCCTGATACTTGGCTGCCATAACGCACTCCCTGATACTTGGCTGCCATAATGCACTTCCTAATGGTACTGTATGTGTCATAGCGCCCTTCCCCTATACGCTGTCATAACGCACTCCCTTATAATATTAGAGAAGTCATAGTGTTCCCCTGATACGTACACTCATCACGCACTCCCTAATGATACGTTATGTATCAGTGTCACTCACGACGCACCCCATCATACTCTCGGAGGTGTAATGGCGTTCCCATAATTTTAATACTGTCATATCGCACATCATGGCACTGCTGGGGGTGTCTAAGCGCTACTTTAGGGACCGTGGTAACTTGGTCACGAATAAGTTATTGAAATTTTGGAAGGAGTATCAGTAACTAGGGTTATATCACCCCAGCTCGGTCATACTATAATACTGCCAGTGCCGCTGAAGCACACAGTGCGTTCCTGGTAGTATGAAAATTATTATAGTGCATTACTGGTAACACTGCCTGTCACTAATTGGTCGTGTTACTACTGGAGGTGATGCAACAATTTACCACAAGGGGAAGGGTCAGCAGGGCCGCCTTGGTGTTATATTCATATAATCATTGATCACACGGAAGTTGGAATTACTTCTTCAGTATTTGAGACGGTGATATAATTATAATACATCACTGTGCGGGTATAATGTGTAATGTAACATTATAGTAACATTGATGGTGGCCGTGGTGGGAGAGTGCTGTACGGTGCTGGAAATTTAGATGCGTCGAAGGAAGAGTTCGGGCAGCCGGCGGGCGGACGTTGCAAGTCACCATGATAAAGTTTATAGTCCACTTATCTTGATGACAGCGTGAACACCAGCGGGTGTGCCCTCACTCACGCTCAACCATCCTCCCAAACTTTCTCACTGCTAAAATAAGAGGAAAAATAAGTTTCCTCGTAAATAATTTGCGGCGAAAAACAGATATCCTCTCCAATGAAAATAAGGAAACGTGGAGCGAATAACAAGGAGGTCCAGGGAGGCGACCACTGAGCACCGCCACCATAAACGTGTGGGTAACGAGGTCGTGGATGGAATCACTGATAACGGCAAAATCTTGCCCTGGATAATTACAGCTCAAGATAAATGGAGACACTGCGCGCGGAATTAACTCCGGAGTCGACAGGTCAAAATGGGTGTCGTCACTCTTGTCGTTGAGGAGGAGCACTGCTCCCCGCCACCACACAGGTAACGAGTGTGTGGTGACAGTGGGTGCTTAGTTCCCCGCCTCACAGGGGAAGGCTCACTGTGTTACACTACTTCCATATTTACCGTTGGATTCACTGAGACAAGATTAAGACATTTTACAGCGCACCTTCCGCGGGTTTTATGAGCGTGCAGCCCGGGGAGGGACCTTGGTGTGGGTCCATCATATACACTACATGCACCTCAGTTGTATCGCCACCAACAGAACGGTCAACACGCACAACTAGGCGCATTCACCTGGGATGATCGAGACACGCTAACAAATCATTCAAAAGATAAGTACCCGCTGTCTCCTGCATCATAATCGCGTCAAATTAATTTATACAGTTGAAACATGTGTACTGATATGTGCCGAGTGGAGGGTGACTAGACCGGCGGCACCAGTGTTTAGTAAAGTACAAGACCGCCGCTATCATATACTGTACTCTTACCCCAAAGTATTATACGATATTTGTTTTGTTTTTTGCACAAATTATGTCTCTCGGCTTTCAAAAATTGTTGCAAGGTTCACAAACAGAACAGATATAGAGAAGCATATATAGCGATGAGAGTTGGTGAGCGCGTGGTGCTGAAACTTTTGGCACTTGTGTGATCATTGTTGTAATAACATCAACAAATATATGGATACTTAGGAGGGGGCGAGGTGGAGGGGCGACTCGCCACCACTCCGCTTGCCTCACGTTATTGGTGGCGACATCTATGTGACACTCCTCAACTATGTAAGTTATTATGTTTATGAGTAAAATAATAATTTCGAAACTAATTCTCGGTTATTAGTGCATTGTGTAGGACAACTACACAAAACCAGACATAAAGAGGCCCCTTCTCAGTCCTTCAGTACAGCCCTGACCTGACCTCCGCCTTGGTGCGCTCCTGACGTCTCTCACCGCCACATCCTCGCTCTCTCCTTCACAACTCCGGGAAAATTAACCTGCTCGAGTTTGTGTAATGACCCTCGCGGTGTAGTTAAGAGCGGTGACGCCCTGGTGACCGCGGAGGCACCAGTAGTCCTGGCTGAGTCACCCCGAGGCACCCATAAACATCCGTCCCACCTACAGTATACTCCCCCCTCCCCTCACACCTTTGTACTGCTCTGAGTTTTATGCAGAAAGTGATACATTGTTGATCCACTTTCAGGGATATAAACCTATTTCTAGTCTAGTGAGACCTAATTCTTTGTTACAGTTTATTGAGCTATATAAAACGCAATATCTCTTGGATCACCCTAGAAGATAAGTGCGTTTTGTAAACTTACTTCATTAACAACTTTCATCGCTTACAAGGTATCTATTAAGCAAACGGAATGTCCGGTGGTGTCACGGAAATATGCAACGGTAATTTCTAGTAAAGAGGCAACACTTCCCTATTTCCTTCTTTTATAAATGATTTGAACTGATAAACAGGTGATGAAAAATATGTTTAATGAAGGCCAGGATGATGAACATTAACTTACCAGAGTTAGGTAATCCTTGAGGGTAGACTCCGTGGGGCACCAGTCTATCACACACACCTCACCATGTTGTCAATAATGTCACACTGGTACTTTTCTTGTACATACGATTAAAAACAATCCATGAGCACCTAGGTAGGTAGATAGATAAAGTCACTAGTGTCAGGTAGCGCGGGCGCGGTAGTGATGGCAGTGCGAGGAAGCCAGCGAGCGGGCGAGGCACGGCGGAGCTACTCGTGTGTCTCCCCTCACGGCTGGGCGACGACTGAGCTGGGCCTGAGAGTGACCGCTGCCGCCTGCCTCGCTCACCACCACGGGCCCCCGTGACCTCAGCTCCAACCAACCTGCAGATGAGAACACACACGCACCACGTACTCTACTGCTCCTCCCTCCCACACCCTCCAACTCCGCTCTCCACATAGCATCGATAAAAACAATCACTAACGTGTCAATTTAGCACTAAGAATAAGAGGTCACTTGTGTGCCTCTCTGTGATTAAACCTTTAAGGACAATTGGTGGGATCCACAGAGGCTCGACTTGAAGTCCCGAGATGCTTGAGCCTTGGAAAGTAGACGACATTGTATTTCTGGCATCACAAAGTCGCTCATGTACTGTCCTCGGTGTGAAATAGCGGGTTATGGCGGGCTGGGGGAGGGGGATTCGGTACAATAGTGAGCATCAGTTCATGGCTGGGCCGTTTCAATTTAATACCGTAAATTACAAGTTTTATATCTGTTGAACCGTCCTGCCAGCCCTCACCACTACCACACCATAACACTCGTTGCCATCGTCGATAATTCTTCGCAAAGCATCCACCATTAACAACACCAACGCTGCCATCACCGCCATGAACATCGCCACCATCACCACCACCACCATCGCCACCATCACCACCGTTGCCACCATTACCACCACCAACGTCGCCCTCACCACCAGCACCAACGCCGGCATTACCACAACCATCATCGTCGCCATCCACCACCATCATGGCCGCCATCTCCACCACCATCATGGCCGCCATCTCCACCACCATCATGCCGCCATCTCCACCACCATCATAGCGCCATCAAACACCACCATCGCCATCGCCGCCATCACCATCACCACCAACGCCATCACCAATGTCGTATCACCGCCATCGCCACCACGACCATCGTCACCATCATCACCACCACTATCGTCGCCATCACCACTACCCCATCACCATCACCACGACCATCGCCGGTATCATCGCCACGACCATCGTCGCCATCACCACCATCACCACCATTGTCACCACCCACCACCACCATCGCCACCATCACCACCACCACCACCACCGCCGCCACCACCACCCCACCACCACCACCACCATCACCATAGCCGCCTTCATCACCACCACCATCGCCGTCATCACCACCACCACCAAAGCCGGTATCACCGACGACCATCGCCGCCATCACCACCACACCACCACCATCGCCGCCATCCACCACCATCGCCACCATCACCACCACCATCGCCGCCACCACCATCGCCGCTGCCATCACCACCACCACCATCGCCCATCACCATGCCATCACCACCACCATCGCCATCACCACCATCACCACCACCACCATCGCCGCCATCACCACCACCATCCGCAACCACCACCACCACCATCGCCGCCATCACCACCACACACATCGCCACCACCACCACCATCGCCGCCATCACCACCACCATCGTCGCCATCACCACCACCACCATCACCATCGCCGCCATCACCACCATCGCCGCCACCACCACCACCATCACCACCACCACCATCATCGCCGCCATCACCACCACCATCGCTGCCATCACCACCACCATCGTCGCCATCACCACCACCACCATCACCACCACCACCATCATCGCCGCCATCACCACCACCACCATCGTCACCATCACCACCACCACCATCACCACCACCACCACCACCACCACCATCATCGCCGCCATCACCACCACCATCGCCGCCATCACCACCACCATCGCCGCCATCCCGCCATCACCACCACCATCGCCGCCACCACCACCACCATCGCCGCGCCACCACCACCACCATCGCCGCCACCACCACCACCACCACCATCGCCATCACCACCACCATCACCGCATCACCACCATCACACCACCACCACCACCATCATACCATCCCATCACCCCATCACCACCACCACCGCCATCGCCACCACCACCACCACCACCACCATCGCCATCACCACCACCATCACCGCCATCACCACCATCGCCGCCATCACCACCACCGCCGCCATCACCACCACCACGGCCATCGCGGCCGTCACCACCACCGACCATCGCCGCCATCACCACCACCATCGCCGCCACCACCAACACCAACACTACCATCGCCGTCATTACCACCACCATCGCCGCCGTCACCACCACCAACACTACCACCGCCGCCATTACCACCACCATCAAACTACCACTACCACAACTATCAAAGCAACAATCACCACCACCACTAAAGCCGCTATCACCACCACCACCAAAGCCACCACCACCACCAAAGCCGCCATCACCACCATTGTCGCCATCACCATCACCACCATCGCCGCCATCACCCCCACCACCAGCATCACCACCACCACCACATCAACACCACCACCATCGCCGCCATTACCACCATCGCCGCCGTCACCGCCACCAACACTACCGCCGCCATTACCACCACCATCAAAACTACCACTACCACAACTATCAAGCAACAATCACCACCACCACTAAAGCCGCTATCACCACCACCACCAAAGCCGCCGTCACCACCACCACCAAAGACGCCATCACCACCATTGTCGCCATCACCATCACCATCAATCCCCCCACCACCACCAGCATCACCACCACCAAGCCGTCATCAACACCACCACCATCGCCGCCATTACCACCACCAAAGCCACCATCACCACCACCATCAAAACCACCACCACCACCAAAGCCGCCATCACCACCACCACCACCAAAGCAGCCATCACCACCACCACCAGCCGCCAACACCACAAACACCATCGTCGTCACCACCACCATCGCCGCCATCACCACCACCACCAACCACCAACATCACCACCACCATCACCGCCTTCACCACCACCACCAACATCACCACCACCAAGCCGCCATCACCACTGCTATCATCACAGTCGCCGCCACAACAAGATTAACTATATATGTCACTCTTGTGTACGACTTTGCCACAGCATACCGAAGACAGCAGCATACCTCCAACACAGCATACCTCCAACACAGTATACCTCCAACACAGTATACCACCAACACAGTATACCTCCAACACAGTATACCTCCAACGCAGCATACCTCCAACTGACATACCTCTAACACAGCATACCTCCAACACAGTATACCTCCAACACAGTATACCACCAACACAGTATACCTCCAACACAGTATACCTCCAACGCAGCATACCTCCAACACAGCATACCTCCAACACAGTATACCTCCAACACAGTATACCACCAACACAGTATACCTCCAACACAGCATACCTCCAACACAGCATACCTTCAACACAGTATACCTCCAACACAGTATACCTCCAACGCAGTATACCTCCAACACAGTATACCTCCAACGCAGCATACCTCCAACACAGTATACCTCCAACACAACACAGGTATATATTTACAGAGGTATATATTTATGTTCAGTAATACAGTTATGGCTCTACTAGTAGTACTAATAATGAAGATAATAATAATAATAATTGTAATAATAATAATAATGATGTTAATGATAAAATAATATTAAAGATGACGATAATAATAATAATAAAAATAATTAATAATTATAACAATAATGAAGATAATAATAGTAATAATAAATGAGACACATTTAGCTCTCAGATAACAGTGTCCTCCCGAGCAAGCCACCAAGAATGTCTACCATTATATACATCATTACCAGATAACTGATCAACTTTATTGGTATTGTAAATATGCTGAGCGCTTATCTGGTGTGAGTTTGTGGCATACCTTGCATAAAGCAACAGGACAGCTGGGAGAAAATGCTGAGAACTGGTTTGGTTTGAGTATTTAGCATAATGTTGTAAGAGGTGAGGGGAATATTTTGAATGAGAATGTTGCATAATGTTGCAACAGGTGAGGGGATTATGTTGACTTCTTGGCTCAGGTGTGGTCGTACAGTACCTCCTTAGCATGGAAAGAAAAGAACACCTGGTCAGCATGTTACTGTTACAGCATAAAGTTACTCCAGCCAGGTGAATATGCTGACCTCTTTTGGGTCAGGGGTAAGCATGTTGTATACTGTACTACCAAAGAGACAGTATCCAGGTGGGGGGGGGTTAAAGGTGACCACCACCAGCAGGAGGGGGCCGCCATCTCCCTCATCACAGGTAAATGCCACGCCCTCCCTAATTACCTTCATCTAAATTACCTGTGTACCCTCCCCCCCCCCCCCACCTCCCATCTCGGGTACTAATGGTAGATTAATCAAATGTCAGAAAAAAGGTGAATCACTAACACAATTAGGCTGTCGTAGAAAATCCTTCGATACACCTGTGAAAAATTAAGCCGTTGATTATCCTGTATCTAGGAAAAGTTATTTATGAACATATAATGAACAGTAATTGAGAGGTACAAGACTGTGTTTTTCTTTGGGCGAGCTCCACAGAACTAAGAGTTCACTAAGTATTTAACACACACACACACACACACACTTGCATATTCACTTCATGAATTTTCTCCACTTTATACTGAAAACTTTATCGTTTACCATTTTTATCTTTTGGATAAGATTAGCCTTTGGTTGGTTGTATTCTTTAATAAACCATTTATTATTATTATTATTATTATTATTATTATTATTATTATTTTCTTATTATTATTACAGCTTAATTATTATTATTATTATTATTATTATTATTTTTATTATTATTATTATTATTTTCTTATTATTATTACAGCTTAATTATTATTATTATTATTATTATTATTATTATTATTATTATTATTATTATTATTATTATTATTATTATTATTATTATTATTATTATTTTCTTATTATTATTACAGCTTTATTATTATTATTATTATTATTATTATTATTATTATTATTATTATTATTATTATTATTATTATTATTATTATTATTATTATTATTATTATTATTATTATTGTTGCAAGGAAGGCCAAACACCATGAATGTTATAATGGAATATTATATCGGAGAGGTGGGCTTCACTC